AGGGACAGTGAGTTCTGCAGGGCCCCTTTTATTAAAGCGCTAATCCCATTCATGAGAGCTGTTTCCTTATGATCCAATCTCCTCTCAAAGTTCCCATTTCTAAACACCATCACATTGGAGATTAAGGTTTATGACGGTTAATACTGAATGTCAACCTGATTGAATTGAAAGATACAAAGTATTGATCCTGGGTGTGTCTGTGAGGGTGTGTTGCCAAAGGAGATTAACATTTGAGTCAGTGGGCCAGGAAAGGCAGACCCTCCCTTAATCTGGGTGGGCACAATCTAATCAGCTGCCCACCTGGCTAGAATATAAGCAGGAAGAAAAATGTGAAAAGAGAGACTGGCCTAGCCTCCCAGCCTACATCTTTCTCTTGTGCTGCATGCTTTCTGCCCTTGAACATCAGACTCCAAGTTCTTCAGTTTTGGAACTTGGACTGGCTCTTCTTGCTCCTTAGCCTGCAGGTGGCCTATTGTGGGACCCTGTGATCATGGGAGTTAATAAACTCATATATATATATACACACACACACACACACATATATATACATATTCCATTATATATTCCATTAGTTTTGTCCCTCTAGAGAACCCTGACTAATACTGATTTTGGTACCAAGAGTCCTTCTAGAGGAACAGAATATTAAGGATGGAGTTGTTTCATTGATTTTGGGGTTTCTGCAGTTGGCTGCTTACTATGATTAGTACTCCAAAATGCTAATGACTCTACTTCCAATAGTATGGAGAACACTGATAGTCCTTGATGGAAATTGTTTAGCGAGTTATGCAAAATAAATGCATTTGACACGCCTGATTCATTACTCGTGAGAGGCAAGGAGTTTAGTGACTATACATAATACCTTTGACCATTATGTGGAGAACGAAGGAACATAATGAAGCTGGTTGGTTGCTGCTAATTTCCATGGACAAAGTGATGAAAGAAAATGATGAACTCAGCAATTCTATCTCCCAGCTTCAGAAGCAGATACTGAACCTCAAATCTGCTAAGATTGCCCTGAGTGAGTCTTCTCTCCTGTAGAGAAAGAGCTGAAATTGTGGAAGAATAGACACAAGCTCTTATCATGCAAGTGGCTCACCTGCAATCAAAGGTGCATGCACAGCCTTGCCAGGTGTCTACTGTTAAAGTGAGGGCATTGATTAGAAAAGAATGGGACCCTGCAACTTGGAATGGGGATATGTGGGATGACCCTGATGAAGCTCGGGACACTGAGTTTGTAAACTCTGATAAACCTTTTTTGCCAGAAGAAACAGCTTCCCCTTCCCCATCCCCAGTAGTGGCAACATCCCCTCCAAACCCATGCTGCCATCAGCCTTTCCGCCTTTGCCTGAGGAAATAAACCCTGCCCTGCCTAAGGCAACAGTGATGGCCTCCCCTGAAGCAGTTGCCAGGCAAGATAATGTTGATTCTCCTCAGGAGCCACCCCAGCACCTCTGTTTGCTTCTAAACCTATAACTATATATATTTTCCATTAGTTCTGTCACTCTAGAGAACCCTGACTAATACAGGTTTCAACATATGAATTTTAGAGAGACAAAAACATTCAACATATAGGATATGTAAATAAACATTTCTCCAAAGAAGACATACATATAGACAACAGGTATATGAAAAGATGTTCAACGTCAATAATCACCAGGGAAATGCAAATCAAAACCACAATGAGATATCACCGCATACCTGTTACAATGTCCATTACAAAAACAAATCCTATAACAAGCGTTGGCTAGGATGTGGAGAAATTGGAACACTTGCACTCTGTTGGTGGGCATGTAAACGCTGCAGCCGTTATGGAAAACAGTACGGCAGGTCCTCAAAATACTAAAAACGGAACTACCATAGGACCCAGAAATCCCGTTTGTGAATATGTGAGCTTGAAGGAGGTAATATAGCCAGTGGCTAAGGATACAGGCTCTATAGTCAAATTATCTGGTTTCAGAACCTGGTTTAACCACTTACTAGCTATGTAACCCTCAGCAAAGTACATAACTTCCCTGTGCCTCAGTTTCCTCATCTATAAATTGAAGAAAATAATAGTACCTCCCTCTCAGGGTTGTTTTTGGGGCTTAAATATGGTAATTAATCCACATAAAGTCCTTAAAACAGTGTCTGGCATATAGTGAGCACTTAGTCCATGCTAGGTGGAGATGTGTGGCAGGCAGTTGGAGATCCACAGGTACAGACAGCAATCGTCGGCATGGGGATGAAAGTGAGCATCCGGGAAGCATTCACAGAGCAGCATCCTCAACCAGGTCTACAGATGAGAAGCACCTGAGGAGCATTTTCAAAGTACATGGGGGTTTGCAACCCTCATAGGGTGTGATTCTGTAGTGTTGAAGTATTCTCTAAAATCTTATTTTGATATATATCCCTAGGGGAAAGCCACTCATATGGAGCAAAAAGTGACCCTAGGAGAAGCTTCACAAACAAGTACAGCATTTCAGAAGTGCACAAAGGGGATTGGGAAGAAATGAGTGGATGGTAAAAGGATGATAGAGGACAGCACAAATGGTGTGTGTGTCTGTATTGTCTTTGGGCTTGATCCAGTGTGGCTGATGTGTGAGTCCAGGTGTTGATTCACCCAAGATGTCAACCCAGGCAGAAATCTGGACCTAGATTTGAGTCCTTTTGATGGCTGAGGGTTTCATAGAGGGCCCAGAACTGAGGGGTCCAGAGGAAGATCCTAGAAGGATGAGGAGAAAGGTAGCCAGGTGGCACCTCTGACCAGACTTTTCAGAGTCAAGAAGGTGGAAGACAGGGTTTCCCAAATTTTACTGTTTTAGCAAAAGCATTTTTATTTATACTCAGGGCCCACAGCATGAGGTCATTCCAAATATGTACACTGCTTGATGTCCTGGGCCTGGGTTTTACTATTCTTTTTCATTCTCTCAGCTCCTGATTCATCACCAAAAACCTATGGATCCAAGAAAAAATTCCAGTTAGTGGATTGTCAGTGCCGAACCCTGGCAAACCAGGTAACAACTATGGGCCCAGGAAACCGAAGACAGCCTTCAATCCATAGTTACTGAGCATGTGCTGTGCATTCAACTCGGTACTGAAAGATAGGGATAAGGAGAGGAAGTGTGGACACACTGTCACCAAGAAATCGATGCCTCCTTCTCCTCCAAATCAGGAATAAAGAGCAAATCTCTATAGTTTGTCAGTTTGTGTCTAGCGGGAGGGGAAGCAGCGAGAACAGAAAACAATACGTGCCTGACCAGGTCGCTGCAAACGCTGCCCAGGGCCAGGAAAAGTGGCTGAAGCTCAAAGAGAATCCTTAGGACTCTTCTGCACCTCTCTGGGACTGAGGTGTGGACTGAGCGACCTCCCTGGGTGGAGCACACTACCATTGCCATCATCAGGACTATGACACCTTCATTCCTAACAGTTAGGTCAAGGACCTCTAGTATTAGAATTAGATTCCTAGACCTGCCTCAAATTTCCAACATCAAAACCTTGTTGGCAGAGCCCAGAAGATTTGCGTTTTTAACAAGCTCCCAGGTGGCTAGGTGACTAAGCACAGCACCCAGCCTAGATTCTTCACATTACAGGGGCAGAAAGAGGATCCAGCATAATGCTAAGAGGTCAGCACAATGAGAAAATTCTGGGCTCTTCATTCAGGAAAGCCGCTGGCTGGCCAAGGCCCCCAGGCACATTGTGGACATGCAGTACTTAGCCCACTGCACTTTGTCCCTGCCACACATTCCAAGGTGGGATGAGCGGGCACAGAAGTAGGGTGCTGCCATCAGACAGACTTGAGCTCCACATCTAGCTCTAAACATAGCTCTGAATTCTGGCAATTATTCCATGTTTTTGAGTTTCAGTTTCTTACTATGAAAATTGATCATAGTATCTTTTTCCAAGAGTTTTGTGGGGATTAAATGACATAATGCATATCAAGCCCTTACCACAATGCCTGGTACAAAGAATGCACCAATGGATGTTACTTGACACTAATTTATCAACAGACTGTGACCTCCCAGAGGGCAGGCAACATACCAGACCTGGCCCACAGAGGGCACTCAGTTAGTGTTTGTGGAACTGAAGAAAGCTATTAATTCTGTTGGCGCTAAACAAAGATCTGAGATTTCTACAAATATAAAGTCCACAAATACATAACCATAGAAAGGAATTGGGGTGCAACTGCCCTTCCCCCACTTCCATGTCCCCGACCCCACTTTCTCTCCTCCCCTTCCTGTCCTTCTACTTCTCTTTTTCATTTTTGAGACAGGGTCTCACTGTCACTTTGTCACCCAGTCTGGAGTGCGGTGGTACAATCTCAGCTCACTGCAGCCTCAACCTCCTGGGCTGAAGTGATCCTCCCACCTCAGCCTCCTGAGTAGTTGGGACCACAGGAATGGGCCACCATGCCCAGCTAATTTTTGTAGAGACAGGGTTTTGCCATGTTGCTCAGGCTGGTCTTGAACTCCTGGGTTCAAGCCGAGGCAGGGGTGAGGCACCGCGCCCGGTGATAGCCCTTCCTTTCTTTGTATATGACTTTCCTCCTTCATTTTATGTAGTTATAATAACAAAAGCTAATAATTACTGGGTGCTGGCCACATGTCAGGCACTGTCCTCAGTTCTGCAGATGTATTATCTCAGTGAATCCTCACAACAACCTGGGAGGCTGACTACAGCACGATCCTCACTTTAAGATGAGGAACAGGGAGGTTAAGAGATTTTCCCCAAATCACACAACCTGAACGTGATGGAACCAGGAAGGGAGTCCAAACAGACTTTGTGCTCCAGATGCTGGAGAAGTGTGAGTGTGTGTGTGTGCGCGCGCGCGCACGCAGTGTTGTTTGTGATGTGGTGGCTATGTGTGTGTAACATATGTATGTGTACAGTGTGGAGTATGGTGGCTATGTGTGCATAGTGTGGTGTGTCTGTGGTGTGATGCATGTGTGGTTGTGATGTGTGTGTGTGTGATATGTGTGTGTGTGTAAGGAAGGTCAATGGGGGAGTGTGGAATGCTTGCCCTCTGCACCTGCCCCGCCTGAGGCCCTTGCAGAGTTACCAAGTTCCAGCCCTACTGACCTCTCTCTTTCATCCTTGCTAACAGGAAGAGATCCTGCCACGCCCGGGGGAAGGGGAGAAAGTAGCCAGGAGGCCAAGGCAGGAAGAGGAGGGTCACCTATGAGAAGGAGTTGGGCTCTTCTGCCCCAGGCCTTTCCTCATTCTGTGCCTTCCTTGGTCTTGTGTGCACCAAGTCCCCAAGACACCACCAAGAGTGTTTGCCAGGTCCCGTGGCTGTGAGCATCTCCTGGATCAGCCTGAACCCATGGTACTGATGAGCTCCTTGTCCCAGCATGAAGTTCCCCCAGCCTTGGGGCTGTGATGCCAACAGGACAGTGTGGTCCAGCACGCTGCCTGGTCTCACCCTTGCAGCAGACTCACTCTCACCATTTCATGAGTTTGTCGTGCAGCTGGTGTGCCTCAGATCCAGGCTAGAGAGCATCTGCCTGGTGCTGCACACCAATGATGCGTGGAGCTGGGCTCTGCAGCCCCTCTACATGGCTGCCCTTGGAAGAGTCCTGAATGCAGTGCCGTGGGTTCCAAAGGGCCAAGAGGATCCTCTTGTACTCCCTGCGGAAGTTTTGGTTCAGGAGCCCATAGACAATGGCATTCAGGCAGCTGTTGAAATAAGCCAGTAAGTAGCTAGTGACAAATAGCCCCTCAGGGATCTGGGGAGCCATTTCTTGTGGGTTGATGGCCACAGCGAGGCCGATGCAGTTAAGTGGGGCCCAGCAGACGGCAAAGATCACAAACACCACAAACATGGTTAGAAAGCTCCGCAAGTCGCTGGGCCTCAGGCACAGCGTGCTCTCTGGCTTGGCTTTCCTGCGGGCCTGGAGCACCAGCACCCAGATGCGCAGGTAGCAGAAGGACACGACAGCGATGGGGAGGAGAAAGTGGATGACCACCACTGCTGCCGTGTACTGGGTGCTGGCCGTCTGGATGAAGGTGCAGGAATAGATGCGTGGGTCGTACTCCAGGGACCCCACAAAGAAGTTGGGCAGCAAGGCCACCACGGTGAGGAGCCAGACAAGGCAGATGTGCAGAGGGGTGTGCCAGCGCCTGTAGATTCGGTGGTAGGCCACGCTGTGGCAGATGTAGCAGTAGCGGTTAATGGCGATGGCAGTGATGTTGAAGACAGAGCCGATGACGCTCAGGCCCATCACAAAGGCGCTGGCCTTACAGTGCTCCTCCCCCAGGGCCCAGCCGTCATAGAAGATGGCCACGAGGATTAGCGGGTAGGGGTACAAGGCCACCACGAGGTCAGCCAACGCCAGACTCACCAAGAACAAATTACCTGAAGCAGCAAACAGAGCAACAGTCAGCACAAGACCCCACAACTTAGATTCTGTAGAACATCCTACCCTTCACGAAGTTACTTTTGGCAACGTGAGTGGAAACAAAGTGGCTCCTAGAGGTGCAGAACTGAAGACTCAGATGCATTTCTGCCATTCACTAGCTATATGACTGAGGCAAGCTATTTAAGCTCTCAGAACCCCATTTTCCTAATTTGTGAACTAGGGTCAGTGATACCTACCTCATAGTATAGCTGTAAGAATTAATGATACAAAGTTTTTGGGGATTTGACAGGTGCTCACACATGCTGTTTCCATGATAGGCACAGATGCTCAGGGGCTTTGCATCATTGAAGCTCCAGCAAAGATTTCAGAGGCGGCGAGTCTGAAAGTCAGGAGTGTGGATTTCTCATCACTACCATCCCTCCCTCTCATTCCCTCACCTCCCTACACATCTCTCTGGTGGTCTCCTTTTGCATTTTCTCCCCACTGGTTAACAGGCTACTTTCTAAGTGTCTTTAAGTGGCTTTTGTAAATGTGAATTGCATTTTGCAGCTGGGCTAGAAGAAAGGTGTTGAGAGTGGGAACCACGTGTTTCTGGTATTCCCCTTTGTGCCCTGTCTGGGCCAGTACTCCCAGCCTTGTGGCCATGTTGACAGACACTTGCAGTAGTGGCACCGAGCCCCAGCCCTGTGGGGTGAGGAAGAGCTGTCAGCACTCCTAAGCTCACAGCCTCTGGGGGACCTCCCTGCTTTGCTTGCACCATGGCAGCCTTTCTGGACTATCTAGGCAATTATCCTTTGAATGGAGCTTTCTCTAACATCACCAAGCTTGGTCAACCAGAGAGAGCCTCAGGAAACCATACACCCATCAATTAATATGATTCAGGCATGTTCTAAGCTGAAGTCCTAGGGTGGAGGCAGGGCTTACTCCAAAAGAACACAATCTCTGCTCCTCAAGTGTTTGCATTCTAAAACCAACACTGACTCACGAATAGAGCACCGAGAACCTAAAAGTTCGGACAATACAAAACTTACAGTGTGAGCAGTTCCATCACTAATGCCAATTGTCTCATTCACCAAGTGTTGTACTTTTTGAATACCTACTGTATGCCCAAAAGATAACAGATTCTCCCTCCAGCAGGGGCCCTGAGTGATGCAGTGTGCACTGGGCATGTCTTTAAAATTTTCTGGTCTCTTGCCACATGGTGAAGCCTCTGGTCTTAGGGTGGCTGAATGCAGAGGGTGGCTTGGGATGGTGTGAAGGAGTAACTCCCAAGTCAGCAAAGACACGGACATGGAAACTCCACGGCCACCATGTGTCTGTCCCATTGCCACAGAGGCTGTGATGGCTTCAGGGGTCCAGAGGGTCAGGCGGATGGAAAGAGCCCCCAAAGCACAGCAATTGGAGAGGCCAGGCTGTGGATGGATTCCACAGGGTACAGAAAAAGGGAGGCTGAGAGCCACCCAGCTGGGAGTTCACCTGAGTCAGCCCTTCAAGTGAAGTAGATGCCATACCTGGACTTACCCACAAGGGTACGGAAAGGACTGCCTCCAGCCTTCCCACATTCACCCCATCTCAAAGATTTCCCGTAGCGTGGTCCGTATGGAGATGGGAACCTGAAAGACCCTCAGGCAGCCTTCACGAAGGACCTATTTTGTCCTCAGAGGTATGCAGTCAACCCCACTCAGAACCCATACAAGTCTACTGGAGTCCTGGGAGTTCTCAAGACCTAACTATAACACTACGGTGTCCACAGCTAGGTTAGGAAACCAGGGAGACAGGATGTAAATGGATAGAAAGGAGATTGTCTGGACAATTAGTGTGCTTGTGAAGTAGTGAGCTTCCCTGTCTCAAGATTGTCTAGCAGGTTGGATGGTGAAGGAGAATCATGACTCGACTGAATTGCTGGATTCCTACCTACTCTACTATTTACAGATTTATTTACTTCATGGGTTAAAAATGGCCTCATTTCCTTTCTGGCTGGTAAAGCGAGGCAAAAAAATGTGCAACAAGGACCTGCTTGGGATGTGGAGGGGTTTCGTGCCTTTTCATTTAATTCTCAGCCCGTTGGCTGTCTCCACTGCTGGATCTCCATCTCTGACTCACCTACACAGACCTCATTTGGTTCCAGGAACACGAGAGATTCCCTCTCTCACATTGCTTGGCTTCAGCTGAATCAGGAGCCCTTGTCTCCTAGAATTTTAAGTGTCCTTTTGAAATCTGGAGGGTTGTGCTGAAGTCAGAGCAACCTGGGATAATCTGAGTCCTGCCACTTTCTGGTCGAGTGAATTTGGGCTAGTTCCCGCATTCCTTTCTGGGTGACTATTCCTTCATGAGCTCCCTTCTTTTCTTTCGAAGCGCTGCCACCACTTCCCCCTGCACACTCATAGGGTTGGTTCTGTGAAGAGAGTCACTCCTCTCCAGCACAGGAAGATGGGTCTCCACAGGACCCACTGGGCACCTAGCCCAGCAACACACAAGCTCTTGGCACTTGCAAGCTGAGCAGAGAAAGTCAAGAGCTGCTGGGAGCCGGTGCCAGCTCTGCCAGCTGTTTCCCTGGGAAGGCAGAGTTAAGTTCTGCTGTGTTAATGTGGCTTATCCCCTAATAATGCCCCAGAGGCTGGCAAACAGCTTGTAAATAGTAAGAAGAACACATTCAACTCCACGTGGAAAGTGATTCAATTACTATCCCCTATTACTCTGGCTGTTCCTAAAAGGCTGAAATCAACCACTTCCTGCTGCAGATTCATCTGCCCAGACATCCCACTGTCTCCAGGCTTTCTTGGCACAATTCCAAATTAGGTGAGTAAAATTTGTGTTTTGTCTTCCATCTGTAAGGAGCCAGGTTCTATGTGGATGACAGTCAAGGGGAGATCCAGTTCTCCATCCACTTCTTCCCCAGACAGGTGAGAAATCACTCAGTATGCACACAGCACTGCAGTCACCCTGTGCATAATGAATATTTATGTCACGAGCCCTGGCGTGACTCGTTTCCATCTGCCTCCAGCAGATAGGGTGTATTAGTGGAGAGAGGCTTTGACAACAGGGCTTTGTTCACTAACGTGGAATCCCCTTCCAGGATTCATACGCAGAGTGCATCCTTTCACACACACAACCATCACAGTCTCCTCCCTCTTCTCTTCCTCTCTCTTTCTTTCTGGAAAAAGTATTTCTTAATGGAGACCTGGTAATCTAGGAAAGAGCCAGCCAGTGCTGAGCTATCTAATATTCGTCAGATAGGAGAATTCTGGAAGGTAAAGCTCCCTGTAACCCTTGCCCCTCTTCTCTGTGCTCACCCTCCATGCTCAGAAGAAAAATTTGGTTAGACATAAATTCTCCTTGGTCATTGAGCTAAAAGACAAGATAGAAAGAGAGAATCATCAAGTCATTTATGTGACAAATATTGCGCGTATATACTAGGTTCTGCCTGTGACTATGCCAGATGGACAGGCTACCTCCCCTTACAAAGTTTATGGTCTCTTAGAGAAGACCATTAAACAAATAAAAACAAGGTGCCAAGAGGGTTATATTGGGGAAGTCAACAGATGATCTATGTGTTCTAACAGTGTTAAACTTTCTGTGCCTTGAGGTCTTCTTCCACTCTTCCATCTGTTTAATAATGTGTAATAGATTTATTGAGTGCCTACCACATTCAAGTAAGACACAGTGATGGATGAAAAACGTGGCCCCTGCCATTGAGATGCCCATGGACCTGTTGGGGAAACAACAGAGAAACAGTAGCCATTCAATGTGGTGAGAGCTGGAAGAAAGGCCAGAACAAGGTGGTGGGAACAGTGGGGAATTTGTGAGTCAACTTGGAACTGGGGACAATGGCAGGATATGGGGCTGGTCAGGCAGGACAATTCACCAAGGAGCCAGACAAAATTACCAAGACTTTTGCAACAGGACTCCTCACTCCCAGAATGGCTGTTTACCTTAAATGAGATCTTGTATGGGAAAGGTTATGAGAAATAATAATCCCCAAATTAATGTGAGATATTCTTATTAGTTATGTTCTGGGGATGGGCATTTGAAGTAATTGACCATATAATTTATTCACAACTTGATTTTCAAACAAACACTAAAACAATGCATTCATTGTAAGCTCGTAATTAGATTCCCAAATCTCTTGAGAGCAGATACTTTTTCTTCCAAAGTCACATATTTATGAAAATCTTAGGATGTGTGGATGAATCATACAGGAGCTGAGTTGAAATCTAACTTTAATTTAATTAAAAAATAAAAAATGGCTGATTAATAGAGTACACAGATATATACAGGGGTACTTCAGTCACTTAAAATAAGAAAATATATTTAAAAACATAAGAAACATCCATTTTTAAAAATAACTAAGATGCTGTTACAAAACATTGTTCAATAACCATCAAAAGAGATCATTTTGAAATTCTGATAGGTAACATTTTATTACTTTACACTTAATAGCAACAAAACAATTGATATAACATGGTAAAGTTGATAGTATAGTTTTACATAAATGGACTCCATTGTTTTTCACAAGAATTCCTTAAGGTTGATAGCATGATTTCTGTTTTATAGATAAAGAAACCCAGTTTGTGTGAATTGCTCATAGCCATAACACAGAAAGATTGAGAAAGAACAAGAAGAGGAGAAAACCAAAGAAAAGAAACATCAAGGGAATTAAGAGAAAAGGTGTAGAGAGTTTCTTGGTCATCTACAAAAGTGAGAAAGGGCAGAAAAGTGCTCATTGGACTTGGCAATTAGGATGTCAGCAGTGACATTAACAAGAGAAAATTCTATTGAGTGCTGTGGGATCCAATTTTGCCCTGGAGATTGCTTTATTGGTGTTGCCTTCAAGAGAAGGAGACAGAGAGTGGTGCTTAGGAAGGACTATCCCTTTGATGGGAGACTGTGGAGGCTTTTTTTTCCTTTTCTTTCTCTCTTTCTCTCTCTCTTAAAGGAAAGAGACTTGAATCTGGCATATAATAAGCACCTAGTAATGTTAGCTATTATTTGTTAT